CAGAACCGAGCATAATACATGTCAATGGTTTCATCCTCCCTCATACGAATCTCATCCAGTTCAGTTGAGACTCTTTGGAGCTTTGATGTTTTAACAGCATTCGTACCTTCGAATTGTCTCTCTAAGATCCTCCAAGCTTCTTGAGCAGTCGTGCACTGGATTATTATTTTGTGCCGGGTGGGATCTACTGCAGACATAATGGCATATAAGGCTCGAAAGTTAGCCTCTTCTGCTTGCCTCTCATCGTCGGTCCAGATGCTCCTTGGTTTCTCAACCAATACTTTGGTGGTTGATGACTTCCCATCCGATGACTCGCCACCCTTAGTTTCAGCGGGAACTTTTTCTTGAAGTGGTAAAGTCCAACCATTTTCCACCGCCTGCCATGTTCCTTTACCAAGGGATCGAAGGAAGATCACCATCATGGATTTCCAGTACGAGTAGTTAGAACCATCAAGAAACGGAGGGCGCGTAACAGACATCCCATCATGACTCATGGTGCCCGATGCACAGTCCCACAGATCTTTATCCCGTAATTAGAACAGGAACACTGCTCTGGTGCCAATTAAAACGTATAATTCCTACGGAGTGCGCTTATCGATGGTATGAACTAAAAAATGCGGAAGCAATTAACCGAAGATTTTAAAACTCTTCAGGGAAGCGTCCCACTTCCCCTCAGAGCTCTTTCATTGATAGATCAAACATACACATAGTTTGGACTTACAACGACTCGAACTCCCTTCAAGCCTAGCCAACACTACACAGATCCTATCAACTAATTCTCCGGCCACGTCCCGTGGACTTTTAAAAACCTACACTTACTCCCTAAGTGTATAAGCTGTAAAATAGTTTTTGGATGAAACACAAAGAACAAAATAAAACAGCTTCAGTCCTTGAGCTAGTTCGAACTCTCAGACTGAACTGTGTTCAACTCAAATAAAACAGAATACACGAAGCTCAATTATTGCTCTATAAATCTTCAAAACTCAGCAGCCGCAATGAGAGCTTGCATACGGGTATTTAAAAGAATCTCCTTAGGGTTGGAGTCTTCTACAAGGCATAGGACTCCAACCTTGATTTCCTTCCTTGTTTATAGCATGAGAATATGGTAAGTGAATCTTCTTCTCTCTCTCTTGATCTCTTTATCATACACGCCTCTCCCTTCATTATCTCATCCGATTTCCTACAAGTCAAAGTACCATAATAAGATCCAGAATATCTTATTTATGGAATATAAAATAATCGTAATTAAGGAAACAAATAAGCAAAGATCTTCCCTGTTTCTGTAGTTCCAGGTGCTTGTTAGAACCTTCGAACTAATGCCAAAATAAATATCTTTCAATAACATTCAAACAAATCAATATAACTTTGAGGCGGCTAATAACAAATGTGATCAGAGGTAAAGTTCGAATTAGATATGACCGAATGAATCTGAATAAGTAAATACTAAATAGGGGTTCATTGACTGCAAATTGTTGGTCGAAAAAAAATATTGGGACAGGTTGCAGCTAGAAGTCGGAAAGGTTGGCAAGGACAGAAAGGCAAATAAGTTTTTTTTTTTTTTTTTTT